AATGGGCACACCCACCCTTCTCTTGCAGGGTTGCTTTAAGGAAACCACGTGAAGAGATGATCCTAAGGCCTTGTAAGCCCGTGACCTGTGATACCTCATTGGATCCTTGCAGTAGCCCTCTGAGGGGGAGCCTTTTATTAACTCTCATTTTCCAGGCGAGAAACCTGAGATTCAGAGAGAAATGTCTAGCTGAAGTCACTTCTTCTACTCCCTTGCCCACTCCAAAGTCAGACCACAGCAAGGAATGAACAAGGGTTTCACTCCACAGGCCAGTGATCGTTGGGTAGCGCTTGCTTGTGTTTGAGAGAGCCTGAGACTGCGTGGAGGCTCAGTAGCAAAAAGTACGGCAATCGATTAACAATGTCTGCTCTGGGCGCAGGAGCGGCAAATGCTGAATGTGTCCCGTCATTTGTGTTCCTTGCCCTCGAGTCCTTCCTTATGTTGATAGCTAAGTCTCTGCAGAGATCACTGTTACAATGAGCAGAGCAGAAAACAGCAGTATCTGGTCCGAACCCCAAATTTCTCTCCGGAGTCCCCGTGTGTCTCCATTTCCCTGCTCTGTCACTAAAGATGTGGGTAATACTAAGCTGTGTAGCGAGGAGGTGGTCAAAAGGATGGCACTTTCAAGCTTTTTGAGGATCTTCTCAGTGCCTGGCACCAACTTTGATTCTCCTTGTGGAGCGTGTTAAATCTGACATCACACCACAAGGCTGGTATGACTATTTCCAATTTATAGAGGAGGGAATTGGAATTTCTAGATGTTAAGTAGTTTGCTCCAGGTAGCACAGCTGCTAAGAGTCAGCACTAGGTTGGACACGAACCCAAGCACTATCTCCCACATAACACTGATTCTGAGGGAGACCCAAGCCTGGCCACAGGCTCGGCCAGACTGTATTTCCTGCCAGCCTGTGGACAGGCTGAGAGCTTAGCAGAGACAAAGCCCAGCTGACTTCTCCGTGGATCAGCCGATGCTACCTTCCCTGCCTCCTTCCTGCTGTGATACAGGCTCAGTCTCTCTTGGGTCCCCAAAACCCCCCCTCCCTCAGATCTGTCTCCCACGGCCAGAGGAAGGCAGGCCACCCCCATGTCACAGGGAGTTCTGTGGAACTGCCATCTGCCAGTGGCTAAGAGGTTATGAAGCATCTGTTCTTGGAGCCTGGGTTCTGGGGGAATCCTGGGCCACTCTGCCCAGCTGGGGCCAGACGGAGAAGGCTCCCACGCCTCCGGCTTTCCTCAGGAGCCAGGCTGGTCCTCCTCCACCTCCCTCATGGCTTAAGGCTGGAAAATGGCTCACTAGCCTGGCACTTGCAGGCAGAAGACCCGACTTCCCACTTGCCGTGGCCAAAGCCCTCTGGGCTTCCCCTTGCCTCCGCCTTCTGCCTTCAGTCTTCTCACCTGCAGAACTCGGGGGAGGGGCTGTCACTGGGGGGCAGGGATAAGCTGCAGTGCCTGAAAGGTGAGATGGGGTGGGGGCGCGGGAGGGATGCCGTGTTGTGGGCCGTGCCTGAGAGGAGTCGGCCCAGCCTGGTCTAGTTAATGCCTGCATGACTCCCAAGAAGCCAATGGACCCTGCTTCCCCCAGTGTCTGAAGCTGTGGAAACGAGGCAGAGCCCTGCCTGTTGCCTGGCTCTCCCCCTACATCGGCTACCCTTTCCCGCTTACTCTCCCTGGCCCCCTGAGCTCTGACTCCTAGGAGTGGGGTCTTGCTTGGGAAACACTGGGGTTTGTTTTTCCTTCTGGGGACCTTCCAACCCCCACCCCCTTTCTCAATTGGCAGGGGGTAGGGATGTGGAAACCTAAATGGGAACAAGCTATGGCTCCTACCCTAAGTTTTCCAGGTTTTAATGGGCTTTGGTATCTTCCTATGTACTGGGATAGATAATTTTGTGAGCTAAGAAGGTTAAAGCAATTTCATTAGATTTTTAAATTCACAGTACAGGAAAGGAGGTGTTAAAAAAAAAAGAGGGTGTGTGTCCATGTCAGGGCCCTCCTGGGATTTCTGGTTTCATTCCTTAGAATGTTCCCGTGTCAGGTGTTTTTAGGATGTCTGGAGTTCCGTGGTTCTGCATCCCTTGCAGAACTTGTGTGAGGGTCTCTGGTCTGTGAGCTGAGGAGGCTGCCCACAAGGCATCTGCTTCGTCTTGATTCATTTACTTGTCCAGTTGTTCAATGCACATTTACTGAGGCAGCGATTTCCAGGTTGAATCTAAAGGGTGGCCCAGATGGGGGCAAAGCCTGAATGGCAATCTGATGACGTAATTTGGAAACCCCTGGGTCTCCTCGGGCAGTTGATGGGTGTGTTGGAGGGGAACTGAGGGTCTCTCCCAGATTTTTGGCTTGAGGGACTGAGTCAATGGTGGTGCCCTAAAGCAACAGAGCAAAATCAAGCCAAGCCAGCTTGGAATGAAGAGCTGTGTCTGGGACAGGCTGAATTTGAGGTGCAGGGGTGCAGGCTGCCCAGGGAAGACAGGCAGCAGAAGACAGAAGAAGGAATCTGAAGGCAGGCAGAAACTGGCAGGGAGGGGAGAGAGAGCCTTGGTAGCTGCTGGCCTAGAAGCTGCAGCTGAAAGCAGAGTGAGGATGAGAAGGTCTGGAGTGTTCGGAGGGGGGAGTCCAGGGTGGGGTTCGCGCCCCGGGGACCCCAGCGGCAGAACAAGCGTGGCAAGAATCCATCCTCCCCCCCTGCCAAGGGACACCACCCATGGGTAGTCAGAGGCCCAGATGCCCAGAGGGGCTGGAGGAGAACCTAGAGGGCTCAGAGTCAGGGAACCCAAAGGAGGAGTCCTCCAGAAAAAGCTGAAGTGACCAACAAGGAGATCTGGAAGCTGGATTTAGTGACACAGAAGTGGATGGGATGTGGGGTGGGGGTACACAAGCCAGACTGAAGTAGGTTGGGGTCGCTGAAAGGGGGGACAGTGAATACTTCTTAGACATGTTCGGAGAAAGGGAAGGAGTCAGACTGGAAAACGTGAGGAGAATCTGGCAGAGGAGGAGAGGGAGGACGGAGGAAGGGGTGGGTCTGCACAGCCCCACAGTACTTGGCCTGCCATTGCCAGTGACCACTCCTGCAATGAAATCTGAGCCGATCCCCACCTATACGTAGACATAAGCACAGCTGCTTTGGCTGAGGCAGTGGGCAGTGAGGGGCTGAGGGCTGTGCCCACCCATGCTCCCCTTGCCTTCCCTGGAGCCTCCCAGTAGCCGTGAGCTCCTGGAGCCCCCTGGCTTCAGACCACCCCTTCATCTTAGAGAGGAGGACTGGCTGCCTGAAACCATAGAGCCAAGCTGGTGGCAGAGTCAGGAGCTGCAGCTGCTTCCCCATCTACCGCCTCCAGCTCCTCATCCACGGTGTTTGACTATACATGTATTCATTCAACAAACATTTATTGAGTGCGCACTGCATGCCAGGCACTGGGCCTGTAGGGGGAGGGGCGACTGTGTAGGAACCGCTTCTGAACAGCCCAGAATATCCCCGACCACATCCTAGTATCCTCAGGGGGTGCATATGCAGAGGGCTGTCCTGTGCTGATGGCCTCTATTTGTGTAGACAGGGCTTCACAGGGCCTGGCTTGGCCCCAGAAAGTTCTAGAAAGCCCTCTACACTGAGCAGCCCAGTTTTACCCTTTACCAGCCTTCTCCATTCCCAGCTGCTCGAGGGGGGTGAGGATATGACCATTCCAGCCCTCTGTGGGGCAGGTGTTCCTGGACGGGCAGCCTTCTCACCTGGCCTGGGACTTGGGCTTCAATTTCCTGATTATGCCACAGCAGCAGTGATGACAGGAACAAGACCTTACCGAGCTTGTACCGATTCCCCCTGAACACCGCTCTGGTGACGGTGAATCCCACTGTCGCCGTATTCCCCAGGGCATGCCTGGTGATGGTCCCACCCAGACCCGATAGGCCAGTTTTCTCTACCCGCCCACAGCAGCAGTCCCTTGATGTTCAAAGATTTAACAGCTGAGGTTTCGACTATTTGGAAGAGAGGACCCCAACTCCAAGATGTGTAACATGTAACCAGTGGTACACGTTTGAATAGACATTGCTGAGTGGGGGTGAGGGATTTGCTAGAGTGAGCATGGGAGAGGGGAGATGACAAATAGATAAGGGGGTGCTAAGGCAGGGTCCTTGATTTCACACAGACTCGTAGTCTGAGTCATCAAGGAGAAGGGATGTCCTCCCAAACTGCACCAAGTGATGGTGGTTTTGGGGGGCACAGGAGATACCATAAGAGAAAGCAGGTGGCTGCCATGAGGACAGGTGAGGGGACCCTGGGGTGAGTGGGGCTGGTGGAGACTAGGGGAGTAAGCCAGAGGGGGCTGTAGCCTTCAGCCCCAGGGGTACACCTGATTGAGCCCATCACCTGGACTTATGGACATCAGGGAGCCATGAGAAGAATGTTATGGGCAAAATCATCTCAAGGCGTCATTAGATGAAATGAATTAGTAAATGCAGGGCTTCATGGTGGGGAGACTGCAGGGAGGGTTTCCTTAGGACAGTGAACTCTGACGAGTATGTTCTGTGGAGCACCAATCCTGTGACACATGCCTCGTGGTCAGTTAAATTGGGGAAGGCCACTGGGCTTCTTTCCTATGGCAGCCTCACAACACCCATCACCGCATTAAAGGCTCTGAAAAGTCCTGTGGTCACAAGAGCTACTTAACTTGTCTCACTCAGCATTTCCCACATTCATTTGGCCATGGAATTAAAAAACCCCAAAAAGTAATGCCATTAATATCCCTCAGAGGAAACCCGCCCCACACTTTGGGAAGGCTGATACGGACAGATGGAGGGACAGGTAAAAGGGGATATCTCTTGCTGATGTCAGGGGTCTTCTGTGTCCCCGCCCCCGCCCCCCCCCCTGCCCGTCATAGCACATCAGTCCCTCATCAGACCCTTGGAGCTCTCTGGCCAAACATCCTAGAAACATTCTCTGCAACCCTGACTCCAAGTCCAGCCCTTGCCTGGCCCCGAGCCATGGAGGATGTGGGGAGGAGACTTACAGGGACAGGGACGTTTGAAGGACATGTAATCCTTGGAGCAGAACAGTGGAGCCAGCCTGCCCACGTGCAGAGTCCTAACTTCGTGTGAAGAAGGATCCGCCGCTCACCTGCAGAGACACAAACAAGCAGATGATGGGGACACCCACATAGCAGCCCCTGACCCCCAGGACACTCATGTCCCTGCGCTGTCCACCTCTGGCGAAAAGGTGGGGACTTTGATTGCATGTGCCCACTCTGGGCATGGAGGGGGCTGGGGGGGCTCTGGGCTGCAGAGTATGGGGGTTCTGGGGCAGAGGTGGGGCAAAAGCATGTTGGGGTCTCAGTGATGGGTGGAGGGGGGGAAATCTCCTCTGGGTGGACCCCTGAACAGGAATGAGAGATCCCCTGGAGTTCTCCTGTCTCATGTACCTGTGAGATCCCACTGCTTGAGACAATTGCAAGGGACCATGGCATTCTGAGCATCTTATAACTGGAAGGACCCTTAAAGACCAGCCCAAGGTCCTCATATCACAGAAGGGGAACAGACCTGCAAAGGGTGAGGAACTGGTTCAAGGTCCCAGAGCTGGCTTTGGAAGGGTGTTTAGAGTTGCTTAAGTGAAACCTTATTATTATTACTGTTATCCCAGTACCTTTAAGGGGATGATGCTTTTTTCATTCTCATTTTATAAATAAGGAAGTTGAGGCTCAGAGAGAGGTAATGTAGCTTGTCTAAGGTCACACAGCTTCTAATTACAGGCTGGGACTAGAACCTAGGTCTGTTTGACTCCAAGGCCCCCACTGCCAGCCAGCACATCACTTAGAATGCACCTAATAAAGGCCAAGAGAATGAAAATGTCTCTTCCCCAATCTCCCTCACCCCCTATGTGAACTTGGTGTGATACTGGAATGTCTTTGTAGAAAGAGAGCACCAGGTCACTCTAATACCAATTTGCAAGAGAGGGAACATTTTTAAAAAGTAACCCAGGCTCCCATGCTGCTAAAGATCTGAATTGGTTCAGTCTCTCCTGAGCTCCAAGTGACATGAAGCTGTATGAACAGTAGGGAGATATGATTCTTATTTTCTAGGGAGTGTGGTCACTAGACTTGCAGAAACCAAACTGTACCTTTGGGGGTTGCTGAGCAGGGACCCTGAATGTAGAGCTCAGTAGGCTCTTGCAGGAGAAAGATTGTAGCCAGAAGCCAACAGGCAAAGAGCCTGGCCCCTCCAGGTCCCAGGAGGCAGTTGACCTCCCTGATTCTGGGGATGACACTGTGGACAGAACTTTTGTGTAAGAGGTGGGTCCAGAGGTTCCCATCCTTGTCTCCCACAGAGATCCTTTTTATTATATATATATATTTTTTCTCCAATGGGAGCCACATTTTGATGGGGACCATTGGTCAAATTGCACTGATTAATAATATTTTTTCTGTTTAATAAATGAATCAAAGACTTATCTTTGGAGGGCCTGAGCTCAGAAGTCCAATCCCTCTGCTGTGACTTTGGGCAAAGCACTTCACCTCTCTGAGCTGCAGTGTCCTCAGAGGAAAGCAGGGTAATGCCCTTCACCAGCTTCGAGGATGAGGGGTATGTACCTCATGTTCATTCTGCTGTCTGAGGGGGTGGGAGGGAGTGAGCCTTTGCTGCCCCTGACCCTGGAATCCCCTTTTCCAGATGGCTCCTTCCAGCTCAGCCTTCTGGGTGTGAACCCCATGCTGGTCTGATGCCCACTCCCAGTCCCCACAGAAACCAACAAGAGTTTTGATGGGGGAAGTGAGGGTAGGATGTGATCTCCCAAGGCTTAGTAGAGAAGTCTCTCTGCTGTGGCAGGCTGCTTGGGGAGCTGTGATTTCACACCAGAAAATTCATGAAGAATCTCAGGGCCTGGGATCTATGCTTTCTAAAAATACATGTGTGTACATGGGTCTGTGTTCATGTCTGGGGGTGTGTCTGTGTGCACTGTGGCCATGTGTGTGTCTGGAGGGGGACTTAAGTGGGCTGACAGGTCATCTCTCGTGGGGCTTCCAGAGAAGTCTTTCTTAAAGGCGAAATGGATTATGTCACTCCCTTGCTGAAAACCCTTTCATAACTCTCCAGTGTCCTTAGGAGAATGACCTGGCTTCTACCATTACCTCCACAGCCCTGGGGCTCTGCTTACCTCTCTAGTGAAGTGGCATAATGTGAGTGCTTAATAAAAATACGCTGAATGTATACTTCCTACAGGGGCATGCTGGTGGCTCCTGATGCTATGGAGGGTGCTGACCACCCCCTAAACTCCAAGTGGTTGTCCCCAAGGTCTTGCTTCTCCTAGAAGCCCCCTGTACCCCCTCCTCTTTCCTCCCGCTGGACCCTGTGACTCTCAGATGAAGGCTGAGGCTGCAGGGGGTGTGGGGGAGGTGGGAGATGGGCTGCCTTAGGGCAGGGGGCACCAAGAACCCTCGCATTGCATATTTTGTGGTCAGTCTGGGGGTTTGGTGGGCAATGTGTAAGTTTCCAAATGGCTCAGGAGGCTGGCAAGGGGCTGGGTCGGGTAGACATTTCTGCATATGGAAGCCTTCTGGGCACTCGAGCTTTCAGGTGTGACCCACATTCACCAGACACGTGCATATGCCAGGTAATGGCACCACCATTACTGCAACATGTCCCCTGATGTGGGTAACATCATTTTCATTTTGCAGGTGAGAAAACTGAGGCTCAGTGACTTGACCCACCCAAGGTCACAGAGAACAGGTGGAGAAGGAGCTGTGCAGGGTAGGGTCCTGTCCCCCCAGTGCTCCCCAGTTACACCAGGGACACCCCACAGAGATCTGACACCCTTGGTGCTCTGGGTGGCCAGATTCCTGGACCTTCCCTGGGCCTTTTATACCTCCAGGCTATTTCCTCTCCCTGGCATGTCATTCCCTTCCTCTCTACCTGGCAAACTCCCATTTAGCTGTCAACATTCAGCTCAAGAAAACCCCTCTTCAGTGAAGTCCTCTTTGACTGTGGGAGACAGAATAGTCACTTTGGCTGTGCCTCCACAGCACCTGGACATCCTTCCAGGACAACTCTGGTTCTAACTTGTTCTAGATTATTAGCTTCTTGTGTGGGTATGGTGGGCCAGTGTGGCCTCTGGGAATCCACTTGGGGCTGGGCATTGAGGGGACATTCCAAGGTACGTGGATTCTAGAAAAATCTCCCTTGGCCTGACACTGCATAGGACTGCAGTTTTGAGGCTGCCTTTTAATGATACTCAACTTTCTGAGGGGAAGGACGCCCATGTAAGGAACTGAGATGGTCCCCGACATCGTGGGTGACAATGATGCTGACGTTAGCCAGGGTACCATTCCCTGCATCATGTAACTCAATCTGCACCTCACACACATCTTGCTGCATTCTCCCAGGATCTCTGGCTTGCAACAGTTTATTCAAATATTTACCAAGCACTTAGTGTGTCACACAAAACCCTTGGAAAACAAAAGGAGGGGCTTTGGGGGTCCTAAAGCGGCAATCCCAACCTCACCGTGTTCTCCTCCCCTCCCCCACTTGTGGATTTCAACATGAGGACCTACAGGAAAACGATTTCATGGTAGCTTGGGTGGAGCTTTGGTTGGGGTCACGGAGACAAAGGAGCTGGATGTCAGGTATCTGTGTGCGCAAGTGCCCACCCTGCTCTTCCCCACATGTGACCAGAGCGGCAGTGAGGACACAGTAGGGTGGGGGTGGTGGATGGCCAGGTCTGGCATGGATGGGCTGAGACTGTGCTTTGCTGGGCGACGAGTTCCGAAGAGGGGACTGCGGGCGTGGGGGTTGGGATTGGACCCACTCTCAGGTCACGTCTCCCCCTGCCCGCCTGTCTCGGAGCCCGGCATCCGAGGCGAGGCGCGTTCCTGCCTGTGACTCATCTGCGACTGTATTGTCTGGCTAGGAATCGGAGGGCGGGCGGCGGCGGCACTCCAGGCTCTGAAGTGGCTTAATGGTGTGCGGCAAGTCCACGTCACTCCCATTCCGCCTCACGTCCCCGCTCCCAGAATACCTCGTCTGGGGCCCACTGCGACACTCGGACCTGGGCAAATGCGTATGTGGTTGGGGGGGGGCGGCGCCGCGCCCCTGGCGGGCAGAGCCTGGCTGGCGCAGTGTGCAGGGGCGGCACGGCGCATGCGCGGCAGTCGGCCCCGGGAGGGTTCTGCCGCACCGCGGTAGACGGCGGACAGCGAGGGGCCGCAGGAGTGGGCTGGCCTGTGGGGGAGGCCACGTGACGCCGTGACGCCGCTGCGGCGCCCGCTCTACCGCAGTCACGTGTCGTCGGCCCAGGGGATCGCAAAACAAACCCCCCATTTTGCAGATGTCAACACTGAGATTCAGAGGGGCAGGGTGAGATAATGAGCCCCCCGCCCAAGACTGCCCTGTGGAGGATTTTCAGCAGGGGAACGACACGGTCTCCCTTAGGAATGTCTCCCCGGGCTCAGTGTAGAGGGTGGACCAGGGGTGGGAGGCAGGTGGCAGGGGAGTAGGGAGGCTGTGGCAGGAGATGATGGGTCTAAATGAAGGGGAGAGTGAATGGAAAAAAAGAGTGAGAGGCTGCATCCATTGGCTCGACGGGGATAGAGAAGTGAAGGAAGCACTGACTAAACCTGTCCTCACCGAGCTTCTTGCTAGCAGAGGAGACACAAACATAATGGTGGGATTGGTTAGGTAACAGTAAGGGAAGGACAGAGGCAGTGTGTGGGTGGAGACTGAACATTTGGGTACAGTGGCTGCAGAAGGCCTCGGTGAGAGGGTGACCTATAAGCGAAGACTGGAGGAAGGGAGCTAGCAGGGTGAATAGTTGGGTAGAGATCTGGGAGAAGACTCCAGGTAGAGGGAGCAGACAAGTGTAAAGGCCCCTGGGCAGGAGCGTGCTTGGGTGGGTTTGAGGGACAGGGCGGGCTGTGTAGGGGATAATTAAGAAGCAGGACAGAGAGATCAGATGTAGAGGGTGAGGAAGAGGGAGCAGTTAAAGATGATTCTGCTTGGGTGACTGGGGGATGGTAGAGAAATGGAGACTCTTCCAGAGATGGGTAATGTGGAGACTCTAGGTCTAGACAGCCTAGATAACTACTGGTTCTCTCTGTCCTTCCTGTGGTAAATGCGCAGGGACTATTTACTGAATGAATGAATGAATGAATGAATGAATGAATGAATGAATGAAACCATCTCACAGGGGTTCTGTCAAGCTGTGCGTTTGCATGTCATTGCCCAGAGCGAGAAGAAAGTCAGAGATTCTGGACTTTGGCAAGACACACTAATCATAAAAGGGTTGCCATCTACCTCATCAGGCCGGGGGCTAACTCCTGGGGCTGGAGGTGGAGGTCCCCAGGTGGCAGAAACGTTTCTCCTCTGCAGGAAGGTCTTTATGTGAGGCTGGGACCCAGCTGGTGTCTTCCCCAATGGAGAAGAACATTCCTTGGCAAGTAGCCATCTATAGGATCAACTGCCACCTCCTTCTTCACTGCCACCAAGGCCCAACCTCTAAGGCTTGATTTATTGTCTAAGTGCATAAACCAGTCCATCTACCAACTGGCAAATAGGTCTGACCAAGTGGGCAGAGAAGCCTGATTTAAGGAAACACCACAAAGATGACACAGTCATTATTTATGGCAGTGAAACATGGGGGACAACCCCACTGTCCAGTAAGAGGATAGGCTGAGCAAATTATAATGGAATAATATATAGCCATGAAATCATATTTTTAAAGACATTTTAATAACATAGGTAAAGACTTTCAGTATAATGTTAAGAGGGAAAAAAAAACCCAGGTTATATTTTTTAAAAAAGCAGGTTATAGAACTCTGCACACAACATGATCCTTATTTTGTAAAAGAAAAAAAACCTAGAGAAAATATTCATATATAGAAAAAGATTAGAGAGGAAATAGATGAAAATATTCACAGTCATTGTGCTCAGTGGGCAGTAGTGGGGTTAAGGAGGATTTTTGTTTTTTACATTTTTTATGATTTTCCAAATTTTCTACAATGAACATGTATTACTTTTATAATCTGAAAAATCATTAAAATGAAAATTTGAAAAAAACCTTTCATGCTAACAAAGAGTAAGTCAGTGATAGTTAACTCATTGAAAAATTTTAAAGCTAACTTAATTGCCTTTGAACATGCCATTTGTTATTGTAAAGATTTACAAAAATAACCTGTCTTTGAACTTACTGATAAGGAGCTTCATTAAAAATGTTAGGAAAATAATTCCATTGTTTTTAACCTTCATCAAAATTTCCCTGGCACTTGAGCAAGTCCTATTTGCCAAATTTTTGAGGGAATGGTTTCTGCCATGAACCTTAATGTTTTATTTTCAGGCAAGCTATATACTTGGCAAAAATAATAACAATAGACCTTATGTTTGTAAAACACTTAATAATTTGCAAAGCATACTAAGTGCTGGGTACTATTTTATTTTAGGCTCTGAATATAGGAGATATCATCATGAACAAAATGGTTAAAAGTCCCTGCCTTTGGGGAGTTTATATTGATGAGGGAAGACAATAAATGAATATGGTATAGAGATGTTGGGGGTGATAAGTGCTATGGAAAAAAATGGAGAGAAGAGGGATAGGGAATAAATGGGGGGGTGCTCTTTTAAGTCAGTTTAATTACTGTTTGAATAGGGAAGATGTCTCTAAAAATTCTCTAGCCCATAGACAATTAATATAGAGGTATAAAGTGATTGAAGATATTCCTGGAGGAAGCATTCCAATAACTAATTACACATCATCTAAGATACAAGGTGCTAATTATCAATTTTATAAACTCATAAAATTATGATGAGTCATAGGGATGTTTTAGGTATTCTATACCTGGGAAAAGTTAGATAGCCCTTAACCCTCCTAAGCCTCAGTGTTCTCATCTATAAAATGGGGATGATTTCAGTACCTAAATCAGAGGACTGTTGTCAGAATTCAAAGGGAAATGCCTGGAAAACAGCATGTTTCAATGTATGTTCATAATGTGGATATGGCAAGGCCACCAGGAGAGGTCCATTTGACATTGCCTGATATTTCCTATTATTCTTCTAGACTCACACTCTGCTGGGAGGTGTGTAATATTTGTTCCCACTTTCAAGAGGAAATTGAGGCTCTGAAAGATAAATCTCCTGCCCAGAATCATATGCTATAAACCCAGTCAGTTGGCTCCAAGTAGCCATGCTCTCAGCCACAGCTCTATTTTGTGCTCACTTGCTAAGGGGCTCCAGAAGCCCTCCTGGCCTCCGTTTCTACTTTTAGGAGGCTGAGAGCAGATTGAGACCTTCCTGGCCCTTACCCTGTGCTCTGAGCACTTCCAAGGCAAAGACTTCAGGTAAAAGGCCAGAATGTGTCTGATTATTCCCAAAGACTGAAGGTAATGCCCATATCCCCATCACATTCCCTATGGGCTGTGTTCCAGAAACTTATGTGGACCAGGAGACACAAACCTCCCTAATTAGTTCCTGATTAACTCCTTTGGGAAGAAGAGTGAGGATTATGGAAGATGCAGGGATATAACATCCTAGTGGGTGAATGGGGGGGTGGGGTACAGAGGAAGAAGAGGAGAAAGGGGATTTCTGTGTAGAAGGAGCCCTGAGGAGGCATCGCACTCTGCCTGTCTTCCCAGGTCCCCATGTGGCAACATGTGGACAGACCCACCTCTCCCCTGCCCTGTTCTGGACAGCTGCGCCACAGGTGGCCAGGACTAGCATGGGTGTCCACAAGATGGATCTCTGTTTTCTTCCCAATGGTGCTCCTGCCACTTATACCCTCCATGCCACCCCAGAGATCCCAGCATCCTCCCCTAGGTGCTGGGTCTCCCCTGCTCTGCTCTGAGTCTGAGGCCCCCGATGCACAGACAGGCAGATATCTTCCTGGGGACCTTTCCAGCTCCTAACCTCTGGGTCAGCCACTGGCTCCATTTCCTCCCAAGGTTCATCATTTCTGGTGCCTCCTGGCTCAGGGGCCTGGATGAACACACCATGGTCAGCATGAAAACATGGTTGGACCCCTCAGACCTCCTCCTGTCTCCTTGTCCTGGTGGTAGCTCCCCCTGCTGCTTTCTGCTGCCTGTCTGAGCCATCGCGACTGGAACGTCCAAGCCACCTGATAGGCTATGGCTCCTCAGGGAAAGCAGTCCTCCCCACCCCCACCCTCAAACTGCAGAGTGGAGAGAGGTGTGCAGAATTCTCTTGCACAGATTGTGAGAAATGCATAAGAAGCCCTCCACCAGGGCAGCAGACATCAGCCAAGGGCAAAAGGAAAAGTCAGTCAGATAGAGTCTTTTCCCTCCTGGATGGATGTGGTGTGGTAGGGGAGGAGAAAGCTGGCCCAGGCAGTAGAAAGCCTGGGGAGGAGGGGATGTCTGAGAAAGGGCAGGCCCTAAGTTTTGAATCACAATTAGATGTCATTAAGTCCTTGGGGGGTTCAAAGACCTCCTTGAAGGGGGCTTGGTGGGGGTCATGTCCCCACCACTTCAGGGGAACTCACTCTGCCTCGGCATCTACTGATGCTGGAAACTTCATAAAATGACACCTGTAGCCAACCTGAATTGAGTCCTGGCTGTGTGCCAAGCCCCATGGTAGGCGCCCTCCCCCCCCGCCCCCAGCAGCATTTCACTGAATCCGTTCAACACAAGTTCCCCATGTTTCAGGTGGGGAAACTAAGGCTCAAGAGAGGTTAAGCGCCTTGTCTAAGGTCACACAGCTAGGAAGTCAATCAAGCCCCTCCTGCGGTACCAAAGCCCTTAAACATTCTGCTCACAACAGAATCTTTACTACTTGTCAGTGGAGGAAACTGAGGCACAGGGAGGTGAAGTCAGGGTGTTTGAGGAGGGAGTCTTGATGGGCATCCTCAAGGCAGGTGCCGGTGGGACTGTGTGGATCAAGATCAAGGATCAAACTCCTGGAGCCCCTGCCTCTCACACCTGTCACTTGTGCCTTCGCCTTCCCTGCCACCCCCGCTTGGCCACCCCGCTGACACTGGTGTGGGATCAAGAGGGCAGCTCTGGGTCTTCTGCGCACCAGCCTCCAGACCGCGGAGCCGATGGAGGGGGGAGGGGGGAGGGGGAGGAAGGGCTACGCGAGTCAGCCGGGGGTGGGGTGGGCACTACCGAGCCTCCGAGGGCGCTTGGGGAGAGGCGGCTGTACCGCTTGGCGCTGCGCAGCCAGCCAGAGCAGCGGCCTCGGACCCAGCTTCGGGTCCCACTTAACACGCAAGGGAAAGTCTGCCCCAAAGCGAGAGAAGGTGCGGCGGGGCCGCCCCCTCTCCCACCGTTGGTGCGGAGATAAGCCAGCCCGGCAGGCACCGAAGCCGGGGCACGGCCCGGGTGACCCGCCCGTCGGAGGGTCAAACTTCCTGGCTCAAGGGTGGGGGTGGGTTCTAGCTTCAAACTCCACAAAGCCGGGAGCCCCTTCCCTCTTCCACCCGGGCCGAAAGTGCGTCTTAGTTTCCCCTTCTTAGGTGGGTTGTTCAGGGGTCCCGAAACCTAGGGCGCGGGACCGGGAAGGCTGTCTTATGCCGCCCACACGGGGTGGACGCTCCGGGAGACCTTCGCTTCCTCCGTGGCCCGAGGGCGTGCTCAGGGGCAGCCTTGGCCGGGCCGGGGGTGCGGGGGCCGGGGGCGGGAGTCTGGGGATCCCGTTTGGAGCGCGCTGCGGTTCGGCTTCGGACCGCCCGTCCGCCCTCCCGGCGCGCCACGGCTAAGCGCGGAGTGCCCCCGGTGTGTGCGTGCGCCGGGGCCGCTGCAGAGCTCGGGGGAGGGGGCCGGGACCCCCTTCCCGCCCCTCCCCAGCACCGCCCCCGGCCCAACGCCCCTTACTCGGCTTAGCCGCCTCGCTCCGCTCCGCGCGCCGCAGTGCCGGCTCCAGCTTCGGCTCCGGCTCGGGTTCCCGCTCTGGCTCCGGCTCCGGCTCTGGCTCCGGCTGTGGCTCCAGCTCTGGCTCCGGCTCCGGCTCCGGCTCCGGCTCCGGCTCCGGCTCCGGCTCCGGCTCCGGCTCCCACTCGCGCTCCTGCTCCTGCTCTGGTTCCCGCTCGGATGCCTCTGCGCTCGGGCTCGGGCTCGGGCTCGGGCTCGGGCTCGGGCTCGGGCTCGGGCTCGGGCTCGGGCGTCGCGGGGGGCGCGCCGCTCCGCCTCGGCCTGCTCGGCGCGCAGGGGCGGGGCGGGCGGGGCGGGGCCGGGCCGGGCCGGGCCGAGCGGACTTGCTGCCCGCGATCCCCAGCAGAGGCGGCGGCGGCTTCTCGGCCCCAGTCCCAGCCCTGCCCTGCCGCAGCCCCGCCCGCCTGCCCGTCGGCCCTGCGCCTCCGCCCAAGCCACAGCCGTCCGCTCCCGGGCCCCCCTAGGCGGCGCGCCTCCTCGGCTTCAGCAGTGCTGCGTGGCGGCTTCGAGGCTTCGGCAGCTCTGGGCCGCCGCCGGGGTCATCCCTGAGACTGGGGGGACGCGGGAGGGGGTGGGTCGAGCCGCGCCCCTCTGCGCACAGCCAGCCCGACACCCACACAACAGCAGGCGCGGCGGGGAGGCCCAGAGATGCAGGGTGCCCAGCGCGCCAGACGGACAGGCATGTGTAGAGAATGACATACGGACAGGCGGGAGCAGAGACGGACAGACAGACGTGTGCAGAGAAGGGTAGACAACGATATGTGCAGGGAAGGACAGCCGGGCAGTTTGGTCGGAGGCAAAACTGGGCACTTGGCGGGGGGAGGGGGGAACCCTGTCACGGCCACTGGGAGGGGCAGCCTAGGCTGGCAGGGCCTCCGCTCTCAGTTGCCAGCAGGTGAGTTCTGGGGCATGTTGGGATGTCAGCTAGGCCTGGCTGAAGCCTTCCTCTCCTGAGCCGTCAGCTTGCCCGTTTCCTTCACTCCTCGCCGCACCCCGTGCCCTCTCTACCCTACTCCCCGCAAACCCCAGGCACAGAGCTTGGCCCCGGCAGATGGACCTGCTGTCCACACCCTACTTTGGGGCCTTGGACAAGTCCAGCTCATTCCCCAGGCCTCCCTTACTTCATTACGATAGAACTTCTGTTTATTGCCCCCCTGCCTCGTTGTGGTGCTCTCCGGTTATTTATGTCTCCCCTGCTTGACTGCGAAGGAAATCCTTGGGGTCCTGCACGGAGCCTGCCCTCTAAATTTGATGAATGAATCGATGTTATACTTCTTTGATGACTCTCTCCTAACTCCCATTTGGTTGATGGAGGCTAGAAAGATGGGTCTAAAAAACAAAACGTAAGGACAAAGAGCTAAAAATGTTTATGATAAAACTCGGAGAAGGGGAGGAGCCGTGGGATGGGATAGCTCCAAAGAGAAGCAGGGCCCCACTGCGGGTACTGTGGGAGGGTGGGGACAGGGTAGGCTCTGGTGGCGAGAACAAACCTGACTCCCAGTTGTGTTGCTCATTTTGTCTTGGGTCTCCCTGGGTGGGGGGAGGGCGGGGCACCTGTATAATCCAGGGCTTTGGAATGTGAGGACAATTCCCAGCCTTCTTTGGTAGTTGTTCATTCTGGGCCCTGCCTCCTCTACTGCCTCCCGCCAACCCCCCAACAGGAGAGGGTGGGACCTGGGCCGGGGATTCCAGCTCCATTTGGGGCTCTTATGGGGGCGTATGTGCTATGTGGGGAATGGGACCAGGATAAAGGGAAACATCTCTGAGAGTCCTAAGAAAGGGGAACTGAGAGTCCCTTTGTCCAACCCCATGCATTTATTTTATGGATGAATACATAAAGAGAAAGGAGGGGACAGGCCAGGGCCAGAGAGCTAAGATTGGAGGCTCTAGGACTCCCAGGCCAGGGCTGTGCCCACTGCACAACACAAATGAGGTGACCTGGACCTCCCTGAGCAGACACCTTCCAGGTGATCCTTGCAGGATGGATATTCTGGATGTTAGTGGTTTTTACCTGTAAGCTGTCCAGTTTGGCAAGCCCGTGTGTATGTGTTCTGTGGGGTGGCACTTTGAGAACTTGTGGAAGGCTCTAACCCTTAAGAGTTCATCTAGGGAAATGAACTCCGCCCTCCCTTTGAACATCAGTGGTCTGACAAATCTAGCTTGTTCTTCACACTGGAACCCAGAACTGGTTTCCACTGGGCCTAGTGGTGTTGAGTCTAGCTTCAGGGAGTTGAACTGTGTCCATCTGCCTATCTATCTGTCCATCCACAAATACACGTTAGCATGGGACACTTGTGAAACATCAAAAGGCAAAAGAAAAACATAGAAAGTGGTCCCTGCTACTGCTGAGGTTTCTTTTTCTTTCCTTGTCATTGTAGAACTCTACAAGTGTCCTTAAGTGGAGTGAGCTTGCTCACTGTCTCTCTTCTCCTATCCCACCTCACACTTTTAATGGCTGCTTAGCATTGCATCGGATGGTTGTACTATACCTTATTTAGCTAATCCTCTATTGCTGGGTGCTTAGTTTGTTTCCAGTTTTTCACATGTCGAGACAACACTGTGAAGATCATTCTCATGGGTGAGTTAGTGCATGTCCATGATTATTCTTTATGTTCATAGATTTTTGAGGTTTTCTTCTAGATGGGGTCAGACTTGGAGGAGGGGGCATCTCCTGGGCACCAAGGAAGCATGGTGGTGTTTAGGGGCTGCTTGACCAAGAGCAGGGTGGAGGCGGGGTAGGGAGGCTGGAGGAGGAGACTTCCAGAGGTCACACAGTGTCAGTGAGGTGCCCCGAGAGTCCTCAAGCGCCAGGCTATGGGGATTTGCCCTAGAGAGTGCTCCATATTACTGCCATCATTCGTAGGGTATGGTCAACTTCCACTTCTATGGTTGGGGAGAATCTTCTGATACTAGGGGTGAGGAAGGGAGGGGGAAAGTCCATCAGGGTGGGTCTGGCTTCTGGGCTATTTGTCTGAAAATCCATTAGACCTTTCGGGAAGGTTACCTGTTGGTAGTATATCCCTTATACAGAATTATGTCAAAAGCATCTTACCAGCCTTGAATTACATTACAAAGGGCCCTGCCTTTTGTAATGTAGGGCCTTGGTTTTGGGGTGGAGACCACACCATGCTCTAAAAAGGGAAGGTGGGAAGGGAGGGAAACCTATCCCACCAGCTTTTCCAAGCCTTTTCCTCTTTCCCTCCGATTCTTGTTAAAGGTTTCCTCTTGACTGTGTCTTGGTGGTGTTAGGAGAGATGAAGGAAGGGGCCTGGGTCCCTGCTCCCTGAGGGGTGGGGGCTGGGAGCAGGGCTTTTCTAGGGCCCAGGAGCTGGCAAGCTCAGGTGCAGGTGCTGAGGTGCAGAGCTATCTGCCAAACCTGAAGCAGCTCCTGTCTGCTGAGAGCTTGGAGGAGTCTGCACTGTCACCCCACTTCACAGATGAGGAAACTGAGGCACTCTGAATTGAAGTGACTTTCCAGAGTTCCACAGCTCATTAAACCACACCCAGTAAGATGCTGAAGCACTTTAAAATAGGCCAAAAAAGATTACCAGGTATCTTTTAAATAGAATATTGGGTGTTACCTCACCTGTGGTTATCTGCTTCTATGGGAGTTTGTGCCTCTCATGGTCTCTGAGCTATTTTCCTGTTTAATTAGTTGAAGAAAACTGAAATGCAGAATATTCTTGGCTACTGAGATGCACAGGAATATTGTCAGGTGGGGTCAATTGATATCTTAGGGGTGGCCTAAAAGCTATACACGTGGCTGTGCTTTGGATTCACCTTTGAATTGTGTATAATCTCTTACTGGTTCCCTCATTGATTAATGCGCTAAAGTCTTTGATGAATGTTAATTTACGTTTGTATAACAGTCATGATTTTATCCTTAAAAAAATGTATCTTTTATCTGTGGTAAGCTTGGAATTGTATCCAAATGGGTCTTATACCAGTGCTTTGTCTTTAATTAGAGGCACCAGGGCCTTGGGCCCTCAGAAGAGAGGGAAATCAGCATAGGCTGGGTCTATCCTCGAGAGCTTTCTGGAAGAGGGACTTTGAGAGAAGGGAAAGGATTTATAGACGAAGGCTTTCTAGGACAGAGGGCAGGGCCTGGGATCAGGAAGGAGTAGGCAGGCTGGTAAAGGGGCCTGTCTGAATGAAGGATGGACTGTGGGGCGCCAGGTCCAGCAGGGGGATGGAGTTGAGATCCCAGGGAAAGGAAGCTATGCCTGCTGCTGTAGGCAGCAGAGCCTCCATAGACTCCTGAAGGAGGAAGGGATTTAAGGAAATGGACATGTTAAGAAGACTGGTCTCTGGGTTCCTAAACTCTTCTGGGGATTTAATAGGCCTTGACCACCCTTTCTCCTGGCTGGAGGGGCTGGGGTGGGCTGTCCCTCTCTGTCTCCTCTTAGGAGGAAAGCCGCCTTTCTAGGCCCCTGAGAGAGGTCTCCAGGTGCTGAAATGTAAAAGGCAGCCCCTCCTCTGGGGGACTTCATTCTGGGCCTGCTTGAAGATTTGTATTCAGGGTAGAGCTTATTTCAGGGTAAACTGGCTGTGGAGTGAGCAGGGTCTGCATACAGACCTTTCTGCTGCTGCTGACAGCCCAGTCATGACGTGTCTTCATGGAGACCAGCCCCTCTGTTAGCCACACTGCATACATTATTTTCACTCCAGTGTTCTGTAGAGGGGGACAATGTTTTCTTATTTTTCATGTACAGCAAAGAGGTTTATGGAGGTCAAGTAACTTGCTCAATTGTTACATAACTAATTAGGGGTGGAACTCAGATTTGCACCTAAGCCTGCCTGCCCCAAAACAAGTAAAGCCAAAATAATCATGGTCTCTCCTTTGTAGGGCTCACTGCCTAGAGAGGGTGACCGACATTAACCACTGAGTCACAGAGATGGAGGTAAAGTGCCAGTGATGAGACATGCCACAAGGAAACATGAGACGGTGTTACAGGAGGTATGACCTTGTGAGGGTGTGGGGTGAGGCAGGAGAAATAGGCAGAGGTCAGGATTGCTTTTGATCCTAAGAGTAATGGAAGGCATTAGAATGATTTAAACAATATTGGAGGAGTGGTGGTGGCATAACCAGACCTGCATTTTGAAACGACAGCTTTATTGGCAGTGTGGAGATGGTTGGGGGGGCAAGACGGGATGGGGGCGGGAAGGCCGGGGAGGTGGTGATCACCCTGGCCCAGGAGAGAAGTGACCATGGCCCTGGAGATGGAGGGAGATAGACCAGTTGGTTGAG